GAATTACTGACCTATATCCTTAACACTTGTGTTCTTTTTGGCATATAAATTATAACTTAATTTTAATAGAAAGAAATAAATGTATTTTGGATAACCCACAGGCTCTGGAGGGTGGGAGTGGGGCAAGGAAGAGGACCTGATTTGGAGGCTGCACAGCCAGGAACAATGCCCAAGTTGTGTTTTAGACTGGCCCATTAAAACCTCCTGTGCTGCAGTGGGCACAGCAGGTGCAACTCACACCACTTAAAGCTCAAACACTAGCCATCAGGTGCTGCCACCAAAACCACAGCCACGGCTGTCTCTGTGCCACTCTCTCAACCACTCTGGCCAGCATGGATTCTGTACCAGACTGCTCATCTGAAACCCGTTTTGGGATTCAAAGCCTGGGGCCAGGCTGTCAGATTGGCAGAGCCTCAGTACTTGCCTCTTAGCTGCAAGGGAAATGTGGAGAGAAAGCACCTGCTACTATTTCATAAACGGGGGGGGGGGGGGGGGGGATTCCTCAAACATAAGACAGTAGTTCCAATATGAAGCATCCTGAAAGAATAACCAAAGTCTGTGCAGGTGACGTAATTCAATTAGTCAACAAACACTTCAAGTGTGCCTCTGTTGTCCTAGCTATTGTGCTAGCAAAGGAAATCCTTAGGCTGCTTTCCTATTAGATTATTTTTCCTCCCTTTTTAGTGGGAGAGGAAAGGAATTCGCACCCATTCAGGGTGAAGGTGTTGAGAGATTAAGTTCAGATCCTAGTAGTAGATTTTTTCCTTCCAGAACAACATGAGCTCACTTTTCTTTTTATAGGTTTATGAAAAGAGAATGATCTCAACTACATTTTCCTTAAAAGAATGAGATTTATTACTTTTAATAATGAAGCTGAACCACTGGAACACTATATATTGATGGCAGTGGGTCCCAGCTTGTGGAGGTCTTGGCAAACTGTCAGTGTCTTATCTCCATAGCTCCATTCTTGCTACTGTGGCAAAACTACCGATGCCTAGGATTGTGTCCTGGGGTACCATACAACATCAAAAATAAGAACAGAAATACACTTGTAAGCTGGAGTTCTGTTAAGGAGTTGACAATGTTTCCGGAAACATTCTTCTTTGCTAAAGTTATTTTGAGAAAACAAAAAAGAGCAGATTAATTTTAAACAACCCAAAATATTATTCTCTATGCAGATATGGAAGATAGAGGTGAAATCAGGTCTTGGCTGGAATTTAGACAGAGTTACAAAGCCCTGTTCTCAAACCAGTAGAGATGACATGGTAGGAGACTATAAAGGCAGCTGCTGTGTGTGTGTGTGTGTGTGTGTGTGTGTGTGTGTGTGTGTGAAAGAGAACAAGAGAGCTGTAAGCATTTGAAACAAGTATTGAAGACATTGTAGGTGTGGTTCATGGAATAGAGTCACTAGTACTGTGAGGGGCATATACTAGGACATCAACAAATATTTGTGGCCTGAAAGCTGACCCCATCTTTGATAAAGCCCTGACCAGAATAATACACAGTTGTAGGCCTTTCCTAAGCCCAAACTGCATTAATTTTATCCTCCATAGAAAGACACACTTTCTAGCAATGTTCCTCTCAGTATTTAAAGGTTATAGTAGACACAGAAAAAGTTTACTTTTGTTAATACAGCACACAGTTCATGCCCTACACAACTTGTTATTTTATTCTACTAGTCAAGGGTCTCTGGGTTGAAGGTGATAGAAATTTAGTGAAAATAAAGTAAGGGGTAAAAGTAAATTATTTGCTCACTCAAGTCAAAGTTCAACTGGATTTACTTGAATACCATCAGAAATCTCTCTCTCCATCTCTGCTCTGTTTTCCTTTGTGTTCACTTCAGTCACTAATGGGCTTCTCTCTCCAGTGGGAAAGTTGGCCCGTGGTGGCTCCACATTTAGCTGATCCTCAGAGTGCATGATCCCGGAGGAAAGAGCCGGCTTCTCTCCTCTGTTCTCAGTATTTGAGAAGAACCCTGATTGACCTCCCACTATGTGGAGGTGCTGTGCGTGTGGCGGGTAAGGAAACTCCCTTGATAAAGTGAAAAACAGGGGCAAAAAAGAAAAGCAGAGCTATGGGGGCTGTTATGTGGTAATCTTAGGGTCAGTGGATGACATGAGGGGTGACTGGGAAGAAAATATCAGCTCTGCAGTGATCTACCTAGGTGCTGTGCTGTCTCTTCTCACCATCTCCCACCTTTCTAGACCTTGAACAGGATTAAACAGACCCATCTCCAGGATCATCAGCTTTGGTATGATTTCAAGGGCAGGGAAAAGGGTCTTTCTGCCTAAAATATATATTTCTAGTTGCATAGTATATTTGGAATTAGTTTTACTCAAGGCAAAGTATATTGCTCCAGATTAATCTTTGATAGATAAAAAGCCCCAATGCAAATATCTGAAAGAACTGGCTCATGGTTGCCTTCTGTCACCAACAGGGGGGTCAGAAAGGATGAAAGCCTAGACAGGGGAAAGAATATCCAATGGGCCAGCCCCTGCCCACAGCAGGGAGGTAAGTAAAGACAGGCTAGCTATCGTTGAAGTACTGAAAGGGATTGAGGTCTTAGCTTTAAAAAAAAAAAAAATTGACATCTTTGGGGCGTCAGGGTCAAGGTCCCTCTCTCAGGATCACTCCTCTTCTGTAGAGATCAATTTGGTTGTTCACTCTGAGCAACACCAAGCACTGGGCTATGTAGTGAGTTTTATTATTGTTAAGACACAGAGGCCCACTTTCCTTTCTAGAGAATATGGTCCCAACCAGCATGATAAAATAAGGGAAAATCCACTGAAATAATAAAAAATGTTCTATTCTCCAAGTTCACTTACGTCTCTGGGTAAATGGCATATAATTAAAGGGAATCATACAGTTTGGTGTAAGAATTTCTATGGTTATAATTTTAAAAGCCTTGTCTAGAGTTATTTTGTTTCAGCTTTTCAACTCATCAGGTTGTTTTGTTGCTACTGTTGTTGGTTTTGGTTTTTGGTTTTTCTGGATTTGTTTTTTGCCTTGAAAACTTTGGGTGTTCTGTTATAAAATAAATTTCTGAATTTCTGAATGTCTTCTTGAAAATCAAGATACCATAGAAATTATTGATACTAGCCTTCAAGGCAACTTGGAGATTGCCAACTAGGGAATGTTTGCTAATAACTATATAGACTTAAGAGATCTTTCCAGTGAATACATACCTTCCAACCATCCAGGACAAACAGGTATTACTGATGCTGCTCTATTTGTCCCTGAAAGCAGATGGCTACCCACCAGCTGCCCAGCTGTCCCATCGGATCTTCCTGCCCCCATTGCTTTCTTGTCTTAAAAGTCAATACTTGCCCTTCAGTATACCAACTGACATTAAAGAAAAAAAAAAGTCCCAAAGTTCAACAGAGTGAAACTGACATTTAAAAAAGGGAATTTTAGGGGTCCTGGGTGGCTCAGTCAGTTAAGCATCCAACTCTTGGTTGCAGCTCAGGTCATGATCTCATGGGTTATGGGATCGAGCCCCAAATCGGGCTAGCCACTCAATCAGGAGTGTGCTTGAAGATTCTCTCCCTCTGTCCCTCCCCCACTCACACTCTCTCTTTCTCTCAAATATATAATCTTTTTTTTTTAAGATTTTATTTATTTATTTGACAGAGAGAGAAAGACAGTGAGAGAGGGAACACAAGCAGGGGGAGTGGGAGAGGGAGAAGAAGGCTTCCCGCAGAGCAGGGAGCCCAATGCGGGGCTCGATCCCAGGACCCCGGGATAATGACCTGAGCCAAAGGTAGATGCTTAACGACTGAGCCACCCAGGCGCCCCTATAATCTTTTTTTAAAAAAAGGAATTTTAACTAGCAAACTAAAGGGATATCTGTATGTACAAAATCCCAGAGAAATTTCTAGAGGGTCTGATAAAAGCGCTTAAGCTTTGAAGCAGATAGATATGGTCTCTGACCTTGTCAAATCACAACTTCTCAGAGGCTCACCTGTAAAATAAGTGACCATCTATTTCATGATAATCATGACTGCCTTGTGGGCAGATGTGAGGGTTAAAGATATAATTAATGTATGTGCAAATGCAAACTTGTATGGACTGGAGCCTGAACCTGCTGAGGGATGTGCTGGGAGAAATGACCATCCCTTCATCCATTTTTATGGTCAGTTTTTGGTATTGGGCTGAGATTGTCTCTAGATCTATGCTCAAATTCATTTTTTTCTGACCATATGGGAAAGCAATGAAACTAATTCTCTAGCTCTTGCTCTGTCTCTTACTCTCTCCCTCCATGCAATTCTGGGTAATTTTTAATCCATCTATTATTGTGTGTAATTGTATATAACCAGAAGCATTTACTATATTTTTATCACATTTTGGAGCAGTTTTCATGAGGAACTGTACAAATATTATCTGATATGTATCTCTTCACAAGAAAGACAACCTTAAACACATATACAAGACAAAGCCCAAAGTGGAGAAAGCAGTTTTTTTTTTTGTTTTTTTTTTTGCCTACACAGCCTTAGGCCACAGACCTTTGCTCAGGGGGCAGTGGAGCTGCTGAGAGGTCATTGATGGGTTTTCTTTGGCCCTATAATCTCTGTCCACTTCAGTCCCTCTCCCAAATAAGCCTACCACCCACTGTGTGCTTTCAGCTCCAAGCCAACTTCTCTACCTGGTCTCCAACCATCCCCCACATCCCCCAATCAAAATGTCATTCATAACATCCTTGTATATAGAGAATATGAAGGTGCCACCAGCAAGAGACCCTTTGCCCAGGAGGCTTGAATAGTAAGTATGGTATAAATTGGAATCAAAGCTTCTTTTTACTTTGTTGCTAAAAGATATTTACTTGATTTTGAGAATAAGGATAAATTATTTTATGGCAATATGAAAAAACAAACACAGAAAAGAAAACCTTATGTGAGTAAATGAGAGAAATGGTGTTGCATAGGATTCCTTTGGTATTTAGATGTTATTGTCAATATTAATCTAGATATTAGTCCAGAGATCATGAGTTTTTTTCCAATACTATTTTTATTTACATAGAATTTAAAAGAAAATATTAGTTCATTAAGTAGAAATATCTTATAATAGAAATGTATGAGACAGTATATTCATATGAAATAGGAAATGTATGGGAAAATATTCATTCAGGTAAAAGTTCCAGTTATGCAAAAATTGGCCTATCTATGTCAAGTTAACTGTCTCAATAGAGAGTGAAAAAGGATTGCTTCAGGATTGCTTCTGTCTGTAATGTTATCTTAAAAAAAATTAATCCAACAATAGTTTGTTAAATGCCTACTCTTACCTTGGCTCTCAAATGTTTATTTAGCTTAGAGCAAATGCAGATTGTTGTTGGGATGTTACATTGAGAAATAAAGTTCTGCATTTCAGAGAGCCCTTTATTCTCTGCCTCCTCTTTAAATTCCAATGTTTTGAGCAGTGTTGCTTAAGTTAGTTCACAAATACAACGTAAAGGAAGAAAGAATGGATAAACAAAGAGTTCCCCGAGGTGTAATGGTGAAGGCTGCATCAAGAAAATATAAACACAACTTTCAGTGAGATCCTTCAACCATGAGCCATCCCATTCTCAGAGAGTTTTCGATTTCCATGTTGTGGAGCACTCCATACTCCTTCAAGGAAGTTCCACACATCTCTCTTCACTTCTCTGACTTCTTCTGTCTAGCATGGGCTGGTACATTTCAGCCACCACACAGTAAACAGAGTGAGGTGCCAGAGCTCCAATTTCAACAACTCTGCCGGCTCCTTCATATACCTTTTGCTCCTATACATAAAGGGGAAAAATAAGATTGTAAATGGTTTTTGGTTAGTCACCAACTTGCCCTATTTGTGATAAAATTAATAAGTTCTCCATGGTCTCAGTAGTAGTTAGGTTATAGGCTTTCTTCCCAGACACATCCTCCTCCAGAGTCCTTATTCAGAGCCTGATAAATGGACAGGTCATGGCTACGTACATGCAACACGAGGGCTGCTGACTGGCTGACCCAGTGGCCAGAGTCTCTTGTCCAAGAATTTGGACTGTACAGTGAGGAGAATGGGGGAGACGTGGAGACCACTGGAGACACTGTACAACATGTGGCTAGAGAGATGAACTCACATCCTTTAAGAACTGCTTCTCCATTTGTCCTTCCCAGTCACTTCAAAGCCTGGCAGCACTATCTTTCCTGCATCTGCCTATCCCTAAGATCACTTGTTACCTCCTAATAAAACTCCCCTCTCCCTCCCCTTTTCTATGTGAACAAGTTTAAACAGGTTTCTGTTCCTTAGAACCAAAGGAACCCTGCCTTAGATGGACACTGAAAAGGAACATTCAATTAAGCATCATACAAGATAAAGGCACTGATGGTGGATTAAAATATTATAGCAAAATTGGCATAAAGACATAATGCTGTGACCCAAAAGCCACTTAAAAAGTGTGCCCAAATGTTCATAGCAGCAATGTCCCCAAGAGCCAAACTGTGGAAAGAGCCAAGATGTCCTTCAACAGATGATTGGATAAAGAAGATGTGGTCCATATATACAATGGAATACTACTCAGTCATCAGAAAGGATGAATACCTACCATTTGCATCGACATGGATGGAACTGGAGGGGATTATGCTAAGTGAAATAAGTCAAGCAGAGAAAGACAATTATTATATGGTTTCTCTCATATGTGGAACATAAGGAATAGCTCGGAGGACCACAGGGGAAGGGAGGGAAAACTGAATGAGAAGAAATCAGAGAGGGAGACAAATCATGAGAGACTCTGGACTCCGGGAAGCAAACTGAGGGTTACAGAAGGGAGGGGGGTGGGGGGATGGGGTAACCAGGTGACGGGTATTAAGGAGGGCACGTGTTGTGATGAGCACTGGGTGTTATACGCAACTAATGAATCGTTGAACACTAAAAAGAAAAGAAAAGTTTGTGTAAAATCCATAAAAATGAGTATGGAATTAAATATCATTCACACCAATCTTTAGATATGCAAGCAAGATTAAGTGGACACCAGCTGAACAAAGGCAGAAACACAGATACACATACACGAGAGTTGTAATGGTGATGCCAACTGCTAATTGTTTATCAATGAGGGTGGAAGTGAGAAGGAATTTAAAAAAAGGTTAAGAAAAGTAAGAGGGGATTGAGTGGCAAAAGAGAGGACATACTTTAGAGCTAAAATGTTACTTAAGTGAACAAAAGAAAAATACCAAACTTACCTATTCACCTGAACTTACCTTTTCCAGTGAATTATTAATTATAAAGACTCGGTATACTAGCTCATAGTAATTTTCTACTGATACACTTTTTCCTTTTTTGTCCCTATATGGTAAATTTGGAGCATGGAGAATCACCAACAAAGATCCATTAACTTGGGTTATATTCATGACGGGAGGATCTATTTTTGCTGGAGAAAGAATAGGAAAATTTGACAAATCATTCAAAAAATATAATATTTCACATGAACACACTCTAGATAACAACAAGTCAAGATTAAAATCAGAGATCTGGCGAAATCATTATAAAGAGACACTGTTGACACCTAAAATATGAATGTCTGAGAAGTTTCTTTAAAGATAATTTTTTCTTTGCAAAGACTGATACCTTTATCAGATGAGCTCTATTTGGGTCTTTTTCAATCTATTTGGTCCTTAAAAATAATATTTTGAACTTTGATTATGCTTTTATTTCCTCTGTTATGTCTTTATTTACTTTGCTATCTGCTTCCACTATTATAAATACTTGAAAGGCTAGTCCGGTAGATGACTGTTTGTTCCAAACTTGCTTATACTGATCTGTTCCCTTGTGTTTTTATTGTGAGCACATGTCTAAAGTTGATACTTTCTTTTTTGTTACTTTTGTTTGAATTTTTTTAATTTAATTTTTAATTTTTTTTTTTTAAATCAGAGGAAAGTGTGAACACAGTTCTCTACCAGCAGAAACTGTGCAGCCGAATTTCCTGTGCTTGGGGAAATTGCAGGGGTCAGAATGACCTGAGTGCAATGGATGAGCCTCACCCTGAGAGAACCACCTTCATGATCATGCTATCTCTCCCACCAGGTAAGTATGAATTTTTAAATTTTAAATAAACTTTTATTGACCTGTAAGTTAGATATTGACAGATAAAATAAATCATAAATAAATAAATCATATGGCTCAACAAATCTTCACAAATAAACTCTTGAATAGCTATTATCCAGATTAAAAACAGAACATTATTAGCACCCCAGAAACTTCCTTCATTTTCTCTCCCATTACTTAGCCCCAGAAGATAATCACAATTGTCCTCACTTCTATCATCATATACATTAGTTTTTTTTTTTTTTTAAGATTTTATTCATTTGTTGAGAGAGAGAGAGAAAGCATGTGCACCTGAGCAGGGGAGGGGCAGAGAGAAAGAGAGAATCTCAAGCAGACTCCATGCTGAGTGTGGAGCCCAATGTGGGGCTTGATCCCATGGCCCCAAGATCATGACCTGAGCCAAAATCAAGAGTTGGATGCTTAACCGACTGAGGCACGCAGGCATCCCCATATATTTAAGTGTTTGAAATCATACAATATACACTTTTTTTGTGTGTCTGGCTTCTTTCACTATTCATATATATATATATATATATATATGAATAGTGAATATGTATATATATATGTGAATATGTATATATATATATGAATATATATATATATATGGGCTGAATTGTATCCCCTGAGAATTCATAGGATGAAGCTCTAATCCCTAGTACCACAGAATATGACTATATTTGGAGAGAGAGGCCCTTTAAAGAGGTAATTAAGGTAAAATAAAGTCATACTGACTTCATGAGTGATATGGGTGGGCCCTAATCCAATATGACTGGTGTCCTTCTAAGAAGACATCGACATGCATGAGCACAGAGAGATGACTGTGTGAGGACACAGGGAGAAAGCCAAGGAGAGAGGCCTTGGAAGAAACCAAACCTGCCGGCACTTTGGCCTTAGCCTTCTAGACTCAGAACTGTGGGAAAGTAAATTTCTCTTGTTTAAGCAAGTGATCTGTGGTATTCCGTGGCAGCCCTAGCAAATATGTATATATATATATATATTTGCCTATTTGTATATATATGTATATATTCATCCATGTTGTTGCATGTATCAAGAGTTTGTTCTTTTGATTGCTATGTAGTATTTAATTGTATGAATATCACAATTTATTCACAGGTTTAGGTTATTGTATATAGATTTAGCTTTTATAGATATTTCCATGTTTCAGTGGACACACCAATTTATATTCCCTTAAGTGGTATATGAAAGTTCCTATTTTTCACATTGTAACACTTGACATTATTATTTTTACAAATTTTAATTTTGGCCATTCTGGTAAGTTTATAGTACCAATTCATTGTGTTTCTGAGTTACGTTTTCCTGAGGACTAATGGAATTTCATGTGTCTATTAGCCATTTATTATTTATTAGCCTCTTTTGCAAAGAGCTGTTCAAGTCTTTTGCTCACTTTTTAATTGGTTGTCTGGTCTTCTTATTAATTTGTAAGAGTTTGCTGTACATTCTGAACATAGTCCTTTATCAAGGACATTGTAAATATCTTCTGTGACTTGCATTTTCATCATTTTAATAGTATATTTTGGTAAATAGAAATTCTTAATTTTAGTGTAGCCCGATTTATCAGTTATTTCCTTCAGCATTAGTACTTTTGGGGATCTGCCTATCCCAAAGTTAGGAAAAATATTCTCCCATGTTATCTTATGGAATGGTAGTCAGCAAACATTTTCTGTAAAGGGCCCGATAATAACTACTTCAGGCTTTTGGGCGGTACGTGAGTCTTCTGTAACTACTCCACTTTGCCATTTCTTGCAGTAGGAAAGCAATTACAAGCAAAATGTAAATGAATGGGTGTGATTATGTTACAATAGAATTTTACTTACAAAAATAGAAGCAGGCACTTTGGCCGACAAGATACAACTGCTGAGTTTTATTGTTTTCAGCCAGCCAGACCTGATTTTATAAATGGGTGATGTAGGGGAACATGATTTATTGTTTTATTTAGTCTCATTTAGACCATAGTGACTCCACTGAACTACACAGTGGACACAAATCAAATGACCCTAGATGTGTTGCAATTCTTCTGAACTCTGGTATTTGGTTTTGTGTCTGCAAGCTGTCCTGTGGCACCATCAACCTGGTTCAACCTCAAGTTGGTGTTTTCTGAAACACAAAAGTTGGATATATTTGAATCTCAAGCCTTTATGAATTTAGGAAACACCTGATTGCTAACAGAGTAAATACTGAGACTAGGCCCTCCTTTGTTTCCTCTTTCTTGGAAGGGTTTTTCCTAGTCTGCTCTTTTATTTATAGGAGGCCTCCAAGTGTCCAAGATTTTGTGAGGGTACTAGTTTTAACTCCCCACCTTGTGTGGGCTACAACCTAGTCTTCTGCCCCAGGAATGGCTGTTACCACTCAGGGTCTAGTTACCAAGGTGGGAAAATGCCCACAGGATAATGAGTCTTCACTTTGTTTATCCTCTGGTTTCCCTTCTGGTTTCCAGCTACTTTGTTTTGGACCCTGGAGATTTCCTTTCTTTCATGTTCCTCTGTAGAGTTAAAAGAATGTGTAATGTTTTATCCAGACTTTGTGAGCATTTTAGAAGAAGACAGTTTCTACCCTTGCAACTTCCAACCCACGCCATTTAATCTGAAACCAAAAGTTGTTAATGCACTTTTCAAATGTGAGAAATTTTGCATAATTGCTTGGTGAAGGATTTCCCCTTTGTTTACACTTTAAGTTTCTGAGGTAGTTGGTATTTAATCCTCTTTGTGATTTCCATGTTCCAAATTCTAGTGACCACAGACCCCTTGTGTATCCCTTGCAAGATGAGAAGAATGAGTTATTTCTTAGTTTTATAGGCTAGTTTGATGTATGTTTAATATTCTCCTAGATAAAAAACATATTTCTAACATTCTTATCACATATCTAGCACCAAAAAAACCAAAACCAAAAAATCCAGTCCTTTTTTAATAATGTGACTCAGAGTTTAGACTTATTTCAATTGGTAGACATTAGTTAAGGATGAATAGTGGCAAGATTAAATACTACTATGTATTTTTTTTCACTTTTTAAAATTTATGTGTAAGCTGACCAATCCTTGCGCCTTCTGGCCCAAGTTATTATTACTGAAGAATTTCCTTTTAATCATATGCATGCAGAACCTATCCTTCGAATGTATACCTTCATTATCTTAGATTTGGTTGCTTAATGTGATACTTAATCTTAAATACAGGTGAAATATATATTTCAAGCATTGGCCTAGAATACCAGTGAGCCTGGCTGCAGACATCACAGGAGCTCCTGGTGTGTGATCTAAGATGCTGAGCTTTGTAACCAAGTGACCATTCTTGACCTATGCACTGAATCGTGATTGTGTTACAGTGGACAGTTTAGGATTACTTGACCTCACAAGTCCATTTTACTCAACTGCTCTCTCCTTGAAATATTCTCTTCCCAGACCATTCACAAATATACCAGTCCGCTGGGTTCCTCCTACCTTGTTGGCTATTTCTTCTCAGTCTCCTTTTGAGATATGTCTTCCCTACTCAGGCATCTTTTGTTGAGATTCTTTCAATACCTGGCCTTACTCAACAGTCCTTCTCAATACTTCTTCCTGCTTCAGCAGTCCTATCAATGCCCATTGTACTATATGCAAATGTGTGTCTAATAGAGTTCTCGATCTGCATAGATATTTCCCTTGGATATCTGAAAAGCATATTAAACTCAACATATTCAAAACTGACTTATGATCTCCAATACTCTGTACCCCATCAAATTGGTCTTTTTCCATCAAACCTCATAAAAAAAATCTCAGTGATTCATCCAATTATGCAAGCTGGAAGCTTAGAGGTCATCTTTGACATGTCCTTCTTCCTTATTTCTATATACAACCCATCACCATGCCCTGCCAATTTTTCCTACCAAATGTCTCTTCAATGATAAATTTTTTATAGTCCTTTCCATTTCCTAATTCAAGCCAAATCCTGACTCTTACAGACTATTACAAGAACTCACTAACTCGCGGGGGAGGTGCAAGATGGCAGAGGAGTAGGAGACCTAAGTTTCTTCTGGTCCCAGGAATTCAGGTAGATAGTTATCAAACCATTCAGAACACCTACAAACTCAACAGGAGGTCGAAGAAAATAATAGCAGCAACTCTCTGAACAGAAAAGCAACCATTTCTGGAAGGTCTCTTCTGATTTCTTTAGTGTATATTTTTCTGGGGTCGTTGTTATCCTGTTAGCATTTTATTCTCTCATTCATCTATTCTCCTCTGGACAAAATGACAAGATGGAAAACTCACCTCAAAAAAAAAAGAACAAGAGGCAGTACCGACTGCCAGGGACCTAAATCAATACAAACATTAATGAG